CCTCCTCTTCCTCCTCCTCCTCCTCCTCCGACACCTCCTCCTCATCCTCCACCACCTCCTCCTCCTCCTACACCTCCTCCTCCTCTTCCCCCTCCTCCTCCTTCTCCTACACCTCCTCGTCCTCCTCTTCCTCCTCCTCCTTGTCCGACACCTCCTCCTCCTACACCTCCTCCTACACCTCCTCCTCCCCCTCCTCCTCCTACACCTACTCCTCCTCTTCCCCCTCCTCCTCCTTCTCCTACACCTCCTCGTCCTCTTCCTCCTCCTCCTCCTCGTCCCTGGAGAGAGGAGGCTCAAAAAGAGGAACCCAAGCAGAAAGATGAGTGACAGATAGACAGAGAGAGAAACAGAAGGAAGGAGGCTCGTCCCCACGGAGACAAACAAACCTTTAAATAGACAGTAGAAGAAGAAGGCAGAGGTTCCTGCCTCCGGCCACAGGTTGAGAAGACGAGAGAAATATGAACCTGAAACATCTGAAACACAAAGATATTCAAATTACTGTCAGAGGGTTTGTGGTCAGCAGGTATTCACATATGAGAGGCTACAATCACTTCCTGTTTGTCTTAAACTGACTCATTGATCAGGGTGATTGATTATTATCAGAGCATCACAAGTTTGACGAAGGCGCCCTAAAAGCAGGAAATTCATTCTTCAGTTGTTTTGTGGTGGTGCAGTGTTCCATAGTCCTGTTAATGGGGTCAGAGTCTGGTTCTAACATCTCTATTGTTTTAACTCATACTGTGATTATATGTTTATTTTGTTTCATCAAATGACCACAAACTTTGTCCAGGTCGTATTTTAGTACAGGAAGCTGATGTCTTTGGTGTTTGACGTTCCTGATGGGAGCTTGGAGGCAGCACAGACCCCTGAAGAGTTTCACCCAGACATCAGCCGGTCCATCATCATCCTCACTGTGACCTCGTCACATGTCCACGTTTGGTCATGGACTTTCCACGTCCACATATGACGTCCAAGGTACCCTGGGTGTGTTGGTTGTTGACGTTCTGGGACGCCGTGTCAACTTCAGCCTGTTACATGCATTGTCTGTTTTCAAAATACACTTCTGTTTTCACAGGAAATGTACAGTTTGTGTATCATGTTGACTTTAAAGGACGGCTTTTTTCATCAGTGTCTGACGCTGCAAGTCACTGCCCGAGGGCCAGATTTCAACTATTTCAGAGTGAGACCAGATTGGCTGGTCAACATCATTTCTCTGTGACAGTGTTCTCTGATCGACCACCTCTGTTGTTCAGGTTTGGTTAAGTTGAAGTAGAACTACCTGGTTCCATCATCCAGCTCTGGTCACAGTTGCAGCAAGCTGAGCAAAGCAGTCAATGCTTCACCGTCCCAAAGCCACATCCGCAGGATCCCAGAGGTGTTCCCAGACCAGATGAGATCTATAATCCCTCCAGTGTGTTTTGGGTCTGCCCCGGGGCCTCCTACCAGCTGGACCAGGAGGATCCTGATCAGATGTTGAACCACCTCAACATGAAGGAGCATCGGCTCTACTCCGAGCTCCCTCCAGATGTCTGACTCCTCCCCCTATCTCTAAGGCTGAGCCCAGACACCCTACAGAGGAAACTCATTTCAGACACTTGTATCTGTGACCTCATTTTTTCAGTCACTACCCAGAGCTCATGACCATAGGTGAGGGTTGGGACGGAGATGGACCAGGACATCAAAAGCTTTATCTTTCAGGTCAACTCCTTCTTCACCATGGCAGTCTGGCACAACGTCTGAATCAGTGCACACAGTGCGTCAAACCGTTTATCAGTCTCACTCAGTATTTACTCCTTATTCATGAACAAGACCCAGACATACTTGAACTCCCTCTCTTGAGGCAGTAACTCTCTCCCAACCCAGAGGGAAGAATCCAGCGTTCTCCAGCAGAGAACCATGACCTCGGACTGGGAGGTGCTGACCCTCATCCCGTCCGCTTCACACTCGGCTGCAAACCGCACCAGGTCATGCTGTGGGTCATGGTGTGATGAAGCCAACAGGACCACATCATCTGCAAAAAGCAGATCTTCAGCAGAATCTTTTCACCGTTACAGCTCTTACAGGAAGTGAGCACCAGCATCTTGCGTGAAAGTCGGTAGTTGTTGGACCCCTCCACCACCCCTCCCACCCGACCCATTCAGACATTCGCCGCCTTAACTTTCATCCTTGTCCCACCGTGTTTCCCCCACTGTGGACGTCAAAAGGAAGTGGTGAAGTCAAACACCCACTGAGGACATGTTTGACTTCCTGCAGAGAAATCAGACACCGCTCTCACTCTGATTACACATGGACTGAATGATTCCTAAAACACCCCCGGTACCCCACACTTATATAGAACCCTCACATTATACAGCGTTATCAACATTAACATAAGTAATATTTACAGCGTTATCAGCATTAACAGTAGTAATATTTACAGCGTTATCAGCATTAACGTAAGTAATATTTACAGCGTTATCAGCATTAACATAAGTAATATTTACAGCGTTATCAGCATTAACATAAGTAATATTTACAGCATTATCAGCATTAACAGAAGTAATATTTACAGCATTATCAGCATTAATAGTAGTAGTATTTACAGAGTTATCAGCATTAACATAAGTAATATTTACAGCGTTATCAGCATTAACATAAGTAATATTTACAGCGTTATCAGCATTAACAGAAGTAATATTTACAGCTATATCAGTAGTAATATTTACAGTATGAAGTATTTTTGTTCCTGAATAATCTCGGGGAACTGGCAGTGTTTGCAGTCTTACTTTCCAGCACAGACAGAGAGATGTAGTTACCATGGTGACCGTGTGTGTGTGTGTGTGTGTGTGTGTGTGTGAGCGCGCGTGCGTGCGTGCGTGCGTGCGTGTGTGTGTACTGGCCTGTGATTGGCTGACGGAGGGGAGTGGGCGGGCAGGTTGAGCATCTGAAAGCGTCACCGTGTCTCTGTCTCTCCCACAGATCAGGACAGAGAGACAGAGAGACGCAGCTCCTCACTGCTCTCTCCATCATCCCTCCATCTTCTTCTTCTTCTTCCTCCTCTTCCTCTTCCTCCTCCTCCTTTTCCTCCTCCTCTTCCTCTCCTCCGTCCAGAACCAGAAACTCTTCTCTTTCTTCTCATCTCTCTGTCTCCTCCATCCTCAGACAGACACACACACACAGACAGACACACACACAGACAGCTCCAACTCTTGGCCTCCATCATCATCACCACCACCATCATCATCCTCAGAGGAAGACGGACAGGGAGCCCCCTGACCCTCGCCCCGCCGGGTCGCCATGGCAACGGTCATCTGCACTCGTTTTACCGAAGAGTATCAGCTGTACGAAGAGCTGGGCAAGTAAGTATCATCATCATCATCATCCTCATCAGCATCTTCATCAGTTTTCACACTGAGCGTCAGCTGGAACTCTTATTATTATTAATATTATTAATTTATTTTAGTGCTAGTTTGATATTATTTATTCTGTTGTTTCAAGTTATGTATTCAAATTAATAATTACTTTTTAATATCTTTCAGTCAAATTCATTTTTTATATTATATTTCATAATTTTTTTAGATATATTTGTGTAAGATTTTTATGTATTTTATGTAAACTTTATATCTATATGATTTTATGTTATTGTTTTTGATTTTTTATTTAAATTGTTTTATTTGTTCTAATTATTATTACAACATATAACAATTTAAAAATTAATATTTTCTTGCATTTATTTCACTTAATTATTGTCAGTTGTAAATGACCACCTTTAGTTTTTTATATATTTTGCATATATTCTTAATTATAACTATTACAGTAAGACTTAATAAGATGCATTCATTTATTATTATTGATTTAAATCTGTTTCGTTTCAGTAATATTAATAATTAATGTGTTATTGATTTAGTTGATCAGTTTCTGATCAATGATGGTGAACGGATGGATGGATTTATAGACAGATAGATATATGGATGGATGGAAGGATGAGTGGGTCACCTCTCTGACCCCATCCCACTCACTGCCCACCCACACACACACACACACACACACACACACACACACACACACACACACACACACAGATAATGCCAGGTCTCTTACATAATGTGATGGTGGGTGGCAGAATAGCAGAATACAGCTTTCAGAAGACTCACAGAAGCCTTCTGTAAAAACTCAGCTTCAGTTCCAAGGATGAAAACCACCAGCAGGAAATCATCGTTTAGATTTTATGACCAATATCTGTTTATTGATCACATGACTGCGTTTTCATCTTGTCATCAAAGTTGTAGTTGTTGTGAGAAAAAGATCATGTTCTGACTTTTAGTCCAAAAACACTCAATCCTACATTTCCCATAATGCACCTGCCTGATAAACAGACACCTCAAACTACTCACCTCCAGTTTGTAACAAAGTGATGACATCACTGTGATATCACCAGGCCAGTAATACCAGTAGTAGTCTTAGTACAGCACCAGTATCAGTCACAGTATTAGCAGTCAAAGGGACAGCAGCAGTAGTCATTGTCGTAACACTGAGCTTTACTGTGGTAATAGTGACAGCAGTAACAGCACTACTATTATTTCCAGCAGCAGTGCCAGCAGTCGTGGTCGCAGTAGTATCGGTAATATTTGCAGCAGCAGTAGAACTTGCAGTAGTATTTGCAGTACTAGCGTTGTCAGGAATAGTAGTTGTAATATTCGCAGTAGCTGTAGCAGCGCCAGTAGTCGTAATAATATTTGCAGCAGCAGCAGTAAAATTAGCATTAGTGTTAGCATTAGCCGTAGCAGTTTTCAGTAGAAGCAGCAGTGTTGGTAGTATCAGTAAAGTTTGCAGTGGTAAAAGCTAAATGCTAACATCAGCATGCTAACACGCTCACAGTGACGACGCTAACATGCTAATGTTCAGCAGGTAAAATGTTCATCATCTTAGGTTAGCGTGTTAGCATTAGCATTGGCTAACTATCTGTGAACCCAGAGACCAGCTGAGGCAGATGAACGTCATTGGTTCTGCAGGTTTTGGTCATAAATCAAAAACACATGAACACGTTGACCTGATGATGGCGCTACAGGAAAAGTCAAAGGATCATTAAAATTGTTACAGGTCATAATGAGGGGAGCGTGAAGGACGAACCACGTCATCACAGTCCAGCAGATGTAAAGATATTTAGATGGACAGACTTTTCCCGGGTTCTATGTTCCCCGCTTACCACCCAAAAAGGTTCTTTGTTCCCCGCTCAAACAAAAAGGGTTCTGTGTTTCCCGCCTGGTTGAGCGGGAAACATGGAACCTTTTTTGTGTAAGCGGGGAACATAGAACCTTTTTTGCAGGGTTAAGTGGGGAACATAGAACCCGAGAAACATAGATACGCTCCCGTTTTAGCTGCATGAACGCAGCGCAGGATGTTTTTGAAACCAGAAACAGAAAGAAGTCGTATATTTGTATCATTTAATCTTTAGGACAACGTTAGCTAACAACTTTATCAACGCGGATCACATATCTCGTTATAACAGAAAATATTTTGTGATAACTTGAAAAATATCTTCTTATAACAAAAATATTTTGTAACTTCAAACATATCTTTTTTTTATTATTATTATTTATTTATTTTTTTTTCAAAAAATCACTTTATAACAGGAAAATAACAAAATTGTATAACTTGGAAAAACTATCTTGTTGAAATAAGACCATGTTCTGGATTTGTTACTGTGGCTCCAGCTGATTGGTTTCTCCTGTTGCGTTTCCAGGGGAGCATTTTCAGTGGTGCGGCGCTGTGTGAAGGTGCTGTCGGGTCAGGAGTACGCCGCCAAGATCATCAACACCAAGAAACTTTCTGCCAGAGGTGAGGACCTGAAGGAGGACTGCAGACATTTACACATCAACACACACGTATAAAGCACAGTAGCACAGATGATGTCAGAGCATCTGGAGCCTCAGGTTTTATACGTAGATGGTGGTCCAAACTTAATGTAACCTGTAGTGTCTGTGGGGGGGCGGGGTTCCTGGGCTATGTTGATAAGACCAGATAGAAAGAACGGGAAGTGTCACAGAGGGACATTTCAGTTTGTGTTCAGGGTGGGAAGGTCCTTAAGGTTCCTTAGGTTCCTGATGATAAACAGGTCTATAAGGGTTCTCAGGGTCCTGGTGGCATACAGGTCCTGAGGGTCCTCAGGGTCTTGATGATATACAGGTCCTGGAGGGTCTTCAGGGATCTAATGGCATATGTGTCTTGCGGGGTCCTCAGGGTCCTAAAGATGCACAGGTCCGGGAGGCTTCTAAGGGTCCTGGAGGCATACAGATCCCGTAGGGTTCTCACAGTCCTGGAGTCTTGCAGGTCCAGAATGGTCTTGAAAACATCAGGTCCTGGAGGGTCCTTGGTATCCTGATGATATACAGGCCTTTAATGGTCCTCAGGGTTTTGGTGGCATACAGGTCCTGGAGGGTCTTAGCAACATACAGGTCCTGGAAACATACAGGTCTTTAAGGGACCTTAGGATGCTGATGATATACAGGTCCTGGAGGGTCCTCAGGGTCCTGGATTCTTGCAGATCCAGAAGGGTCCTCAGGTTCTTGAACAGGGTCTGCTGTCCGTCCTTGTCCTTGGCGGTGGCAGCAGGGTACCAGGTGGTGATGGAGGAGGTGCTCCATCATGGTCTTTGGCAGGTTGAACATCGTCAGCTGCTGCTGAGGTTTTTGATGGAGGAGCTGAGGTTCAGCTCCCAGCTGAGGTCCTGACTGATGATGGAGGAAGTGGAAGGAACCACAGGGTGATGGAGGCTCCACTGTCTTCAGAGCGTTCAGCTCCAGGTGGTTCTGTCCCCACCATGTCACCAGGTGGTCATTATCCGAGTTGTAGGCAGACTCATCCCCACCTGAGATGAGTCCAGTCAGGGTGGAGTTGTCCCTGAACTCCAGGAGCTTGGCAGACTGATGACTTGAGGAGCAGCTGTTGGTGTTCAGAGAGAAGAGCACCATGTTTCTGATGGTCAGTCAGAGACGTGTTTCTGAAGCTCCACAGGTACACTCAGTGTCCTGGTCCAGACCAGTGGGAGCAGTCTCCGAAGTCCGTAACGATCCTCCAGAACTTCACTGGTCCACAGTGTAAATGTCGTCACAGCAGGTTTACAGAGCTTTGACTTTTGCCTGTACGCAGGACGCAGGTGGACCATGACGTGGTCCGAGTGTCCCGGTGCAGCTGGTGGATGGCGTGATTGGCTCCACTGACTGTAACGCAGATCCAAAATATTCCCCTCTCTGGTCCAACATTTAATGAACTGTCTGTTTGGGAGTTCATGGCTGACGTTACCTTTATTTAAGTCGCTGAGGACAATGGCGGGTCTGGGTGTGTCTGTCCCAAACACAGTATCTGGTCAGGGAGCATACGCTGAACGTCCTCCATGTTGGTGTTTGAGTATAAACTCTGATCAGGGTGAATGAAGTGAACTCAGGAGGAAGTAGAAAGATTTACAGTTGCTGTATGATCACTGTCACAGTTACATCAATCAGATTGATCTGCCGTGTGGTGATCTGCTCTGAACATCATGGATCCACGTCATCACGTCTCTGTGATGCACAAAACAGATGATGAAGAAAAGTTGGTCCCGCTTGTTGCACAGTGAACTCACGTCAAAGAAATATCTCCAGTAACATTGTTTGAAGTCGGCGGCGGCAGAGAGCGGCCTGTTTTCCTTTCCTCTGGCGTTTTACTGCATGAATCAAAGACGAGAGCACCTTTGATGAGACGCTGATTCAATGATGATGAGAGAAACCTGCTGGAGTTGTTTCCTGATGTTCATGAACTCGTCTCTGGTGAAAGAGCTTCAGGTACCTCAGCAGAAAACAAGACAGAACAACACACAGCGGCATGCTGAGGCGGCCATCTTCTCATCACATGGTGTCAGACAGAATGACGTTAACGGAAATGAATACTACGCTCCGATGGCACTGGTGTTGATCGACAGCATATGAAGTGTTAAACACAGAATAATAGGAAGTGCACGTCTCAGACAGGACGGTGGTCTCTCTTGAGGATTCTGAACATACACACATGTTGCGTTCAAATGTAACTCGTGTTTAAGACACAGGAAGTTGTGTACATGATGCTCTCTGAAAATTTCCACTTACGGGGTGATGCATATTATCATCAGGTGGACATTCCTATGGTCACTTCTTGTGAAAACAGTCAACACGACCTCAGCTGAGCATAGCATAAATATACGTGGACTATGCGCTGACTGTGTCAGCCTGTCGCAGCAATGCGTCAACGTCGCCGCCATTTTGGAGAGAGCGACACTGGCCTGTAAACAAGTGACAGTAAGCAGAGGAGCTGCTGTTTTCTACATAAAAAGACCTGACATTTCTCAACTGATTTCAATGAGCAGAAAATAAAGTTTTGTCTCCAGTTAATTATAATCTGATATTTAGTCTGTGATGACTGCTGGACGCTCGGCAGAGGGGTCTGTGTTTCTGACGTGGTCTGAAATAATTCATCATCATGAGGAATTATAAAAACTAAAGTTTGTCAAACATGGATTTGTCTTATTGTCCTTAGTTATCCTACTTATGGAGACGTCACTTTAGATATAATTTAATGGGGAAGTAGACAGCTTTTCAACTAGCTAGCATGCTAGCTTGCTAACACTGTCTGCTAATCAACAACTCCTCGATCATAACAGAATATAATTTTAATAACTGTGACCACTGATCATCTTAGAAAGGCATGTTCTCTGTTTAAATCATCAAACACACAATGGGTCATAGACGTTTGTATCTGGCTGCCAGCTGTTAGCTAATGTTAGCACGCTAGCTAGCATAGTTATTATGCTAACATTAGCTACCCTTTCCTTTCCCTGATATCAGACAGGAACAAATTATACAAATTAAAGACAGGTTTTCTTTTGGTGTCTATTCTTAAATGATCAATGGTGACCGTTAATAAACAGACAGCGTTAGCTAGCTAGTTATTAAGTTGTATACTTCGACATTAAATTATATTGTTTAGTGACGTCTCTGCAAAGTACTAACTAATGAAAATAAGACAAATCCATGTTTGACACATGTGAATTTTTATAATTCCTTATGATGATGAATAATTAATTACTCCATTTGAATAATTCAGTTCTTGTCAGTCTGACACACCAGCAGTTATCACAGACAAAATATCCAGATTAGAATTAACTGGAGACTGAAGAAAGAAATATAATTGTTGTAGTGATGTTTATCCAGAAGAGCAGCCGCTCCTGTTCCCTGTTTACAGACCAGTGTGGCTCTCTCTCCAATATGGCGGTGACAGTCCAGCAGTTTTATATCTATGATCCTGACCACTAGACATGTGCAAAAAAAACCTGTAGAGACACCTGTAGATACCTGTAGAGATACCTGTAGAGACAACTGTAAACACCTGTAGAGACACCTGTAGAGACACCTGTAGACACCTGTAGAGACACCTGTAGAGACACCTGTAGACACATGTAAACACCTGTAGAGACACCTGTAGACACCTGTAGAGACCCATAGAGACACCTGTAGACACCTGTAGACACCTGTAGAGACACCTGTAGAAACTTCTGTAGAGACACCTGTAGACACATGTAAACACCTGTAGAGACACCTGTAGAGACACCTGTAGACACCTGTAGAGACACCTGTAGACACTCGTAGAGACACCTGTAGAGACCTGTAGAGACACCTGTAGAAACACCTGTGTAGACACCTGTAGAGACACCTGTAGAGACCTGTAGAGACAGCTGTAGACACCTGTAGAAACACCTGTAGAGACACCTGTAGAGACCTGTAGAGACAGCTGTAGACACCTGTAGAGACACCTGTAGAGACCTGTAGAGACACCTGTGTAGACACCTGTAGATACACCTGTAGAGACACCTGTAGAGATCTGTAGAGACACCTATAGAAACACCTGTGTAGACACCTGTAGAGACACCTGTAGGGACACCTGTAGAGACCTGTAGAGACA